ACTTGAAAACTTCACAACACAAAACTTAACAGAAAACTCGTAAGCTCCGTTAGTATAAGAAAATAAAACAGCCACTTAGGTACTGTAATGAACTCATTATAAATTCATATTGGTGTAATATCTATTGTATTCCAACTTATCTATGGTTCATACCCTCCGATACTACTCATAGATTCATCAAAATAAGCAAACAACACATAGAGAACAGAATCTGTCAAAAACAGAACAGTCTGTAGTAATCTGTATCAAACGTATACTTCTGGAACTCCAAAAATCCTTCCAAATTAGGAAGTCCTAAGCAATTTGTGTATAAATCCAAAGCAAAAATAATCAGATCAGAAGAACGTTTCTGTGAATTAACAAAACTAATTTACTGGGTGCAAAAGTTTCTGACTTTTTGCAGGATCAACACAACTATCATCGTAAGCCATCCTAAAGGTCTTACTTGGTACTTTATTGAAACAAAATCTATAAAACATGATTACTACAGTAGCATAATCATGTGGACACACAAAAACAATAAGGATAAATATTGGGTTGTCTCCCAACAAGCGTTTTTCTTTAATGCCTTTCTAGCTAGGCATGATGATGATAATGATGCTCACATAAAAGATAAGAATTGAAACATAATGGGAGCATTATGAAGCATATGACTAGCACATTTAAGTCTAACCCACTTCCTATGAATAGGGATTTTGTGAGCAAACAACTTATGGGAACGATAATCAACTAGCATAGGAAGGTGAAACAAGCATAGCTTCAAGATTTTCAACACATAGAGAGGAAACTTGACATTATTGCAATTCCTACAAGCATTTATTCCTCCCTCATAATAATTTTCAGTAGCATCATGAATGAATTCAACAATATAACCAGCACCTAAAACATTCTTTTCATGACCTACAAGCATAGAAAATTTACTACTCTCCACATAAACAAAATTCTTCTCATCAATAGTAGTGGGAGCAAACTCAACAAAATAAGTATCATATGATTGAAAATTAAGATCAAGATGACAAGTTTCATGGTTATCATTATTCTTTAAAGCATACGTGTCATCACAATAATCATCATAGATAGGAGGCATGCTTTCATCATAGTAAATTTGCTCATCAAAACTTGGGGGACAAAAAATATCATCTTCATCAAACATAGCTTACCCAAGCTTGTGGCTTTGCGTATCATTAGCATCATGGATATTCAAGGAATTCATACTAACAACATTGCAATCATGCTCATCATTCAAAGATTTAGTGCCAATCAATTTAGAGATTTCTTCTTCTAGCACTTGAGCACAATTATCCTTTCCATCATACTCACGAAAGATATTAAAAATTTGAAGCGTATGAGACAAACTTAACTCCATTTTTTCATAATTTTCTTTTATAAACTAAACTAGTGCTAAAACAAGAAACAAAAAGATTCGATTGCAAGATCTGAAGATATACCTTCAAGCACTCACCTCCCCGGCAACGGTGCCAGAAAAGAGCTTAGTTGACGGGGTGTGAGTGAGTGCCCTTTACCTAGCCTCCCCGGCAACGGCGCCAGAAAAGAGCTTGATTTCTACTACACAACCTTCTTCTTGTAGACGTTGTTGGGCCCGCAAGTGCACAGGTTTGTAGGACAGTAGCAAATTTCCCTCAAGTGGATGACCTAAGATTTATCAATCCGTGGGAGGCGTAGAATGAAGATGGTCTCTCTCAAGCAACCCTGCAACCAAATAACTAAAAGTCTCTTGTGTCCCCAACACACCCAATACAATGGCAAATTGTATAGGTGCACTAGTTCGGCGAAGAGATGGTGATACAAGTGCAAAATAGATAGTAGATATAGGTTTTTGTAATCTGAAATAATAAAAACAACAAGGTAACTAAAGATAAAAGTGAGCGTAAACGGTATTGCAATGATAGGAAACAAGGCCTAGGGTTCATACTTTCACTAGTGCAAGTTCACTCAACAATAATAACATAGATAGATCATATAACAAGCCCTCAACATGCAACAAAGAGTCACTCTGAAGCCACTAATAGCGGAGAACAAACGTAGAGATTATGGTAGGGTACGAAACCACCTCAAAGTTATTCTTTCGGATCGATCTATAAAAGAGTTCGTACTAGAATAACATCTTAAGACACAAATCAACCAAAACCCTAATGTCACCTAGGTACTCCATTGTCACCTCAAGTATCCGTGGGCATGATTATACGATATGCATCACACAATCTCAGATTCATCCAACCAACATAAAAGTACTTCAAAGAGTGCCCCAAAGTTTCTATCGGAGAGTCAAGAACGTGTGCCAATCCCTATGCATAGGTTCATGGGCGGAACCCGCAAGTTGGTCACCAAAACATACATCAAGTGGCACATGATATCCCATTGTCACCACAGATAAACATGGCAAGACATACATAAAGTGTTCTCATAAAAGACTCAATCCGATAATATAACTTCAAAGGGGAAACTCAATTCATCACAAGAGAGTAGAGGGGGAGAAACATCATAAGATCCAACTACAATAGAAAAGCTCGGGATACATCAAGATCGTGCCATAGAGGAACACGAGAGAGAGAGAGAGAGATCAAACACATAGCTACTGGTACATACCCTCAGCCCCGAGGGTGAACTACTCCCTCCTCGTCATGGATAGCGCCGGGATGATGAAGATGGCCACCGGTGATGGGATCCCCCTCCGGCAGGGCGCCGGAACGGGCTCCTGAGAGGTTTTTGGTGGCTACAGAGGCTTGCGGCGGTGGAACTCCCGATCTATCTTCTGTTCTGGAAGTTTTAGGGTACGAGAGTATATATGGGTGCAGGGGGTACGTCGGAGGAGCTACGGGGGCCCCACGAGGCAGGGGGGCACGCTCGGGGGGGTGGGCATGCCCCCCACCCTCGTGGGCAGCCTGTATCTCCCCTGACGTGCACTCCAAGTTCCCTGGGTTGCTTTCCTTCTAAAAATAACTTCTCCAGTTGATTTCGTTCCGTTTTGACTCCGTCTGATATTCCTTTTCCTTGAAACACTGAAATAGGCATAAAACAACAAATCTGGGCTGGGCCTCCGGCTAATAGGTTAGTCCCAAAAATAATATAAAAGTGGATAATAAAGCCCAATATTGCCTAAAACAGTAGATAAAGTAGCATGGAGCAATCAAAAATTATAGATACGTTGGAGACGTATCATCGCCACGCCGTCGTGCTGACGAAACTCTCCCTCGGCCCCAACTAGATCAAGAGTACGAGGGACGTCTCCGAGCTGAACGTGTGCTGATCGCGGAGGTGCCGTACGTTCGGTGGTAAGATCGGTCGGATCGTGAAGACGTACGACTACATCAACCGCGTTGTCATAACGCTTCCGCTTTCGGTCTACGAGGGTACCTGGACACACTCTCCTCTCTCGTTGCTATGCATCACATAGATAGATCTTGTGTGACCGTAGGATTGTTTTTGAAATTACCGTGTTTCCCAAGCCGCCACTAGCAGCAGCTCCCACATCCGCGCTTCTTGCCGCTGGTGTGAGCCGCACCTCCTCTAGGGCCGTCGGGCTTCGGCGGCGCTGCTCTTCTCCATGGCGGCGGATGTGGCGTCCCTTCGATGCCTTGGTTGCTGATCCGGTCCGAGGCGCCCTGCGTTGCTTCGTCGACGTTGGTACCATGGGAACGGGGGCCCGTGGGCATTTGCACGACATGTTGGGATGCGGGATGACGGTCTCGTGTGGGCTCTCGGCGACGGCCACCATGGCCGTTTGGGTGGCGCGATTGTTGGCTTTCTGGTTGGGGAGGCGGCAGGCGGCGTTCGGGTGTCTCCTGGGTGAAAGCCTTAACTGAGGTGCGCAGCGATGGCGTCTTTGGCGTCGTTCCCTTCTTGAAGGGGCCGTCTTGGGAGATAATTGGCTGATGGACACCATTTGGTTGGCATTGGCAGCAATTTGGATCAGAAGGTGGTGCGGTGTGGCATCTACCGCGTCTGCAACGTCGGGTCTTGGTGGTGTGGCACAACGGGATCTCGGCGTTGGATGTGTGTTGATGGACGCACCCAGAATGGTGACGTTGTCAGGCGTCGTGGTGGCATCAACAGTAGTTGGGCCTGACAAGATCATTGTGTTGATCTCTTCTGAAGTTGGAGCGACAAAAGATGGCAGTGACGAATTCTGAAGCGTGTGCATGTGGCGTGTGGTGAGGGTCGGCTAGACTAGTTGGTGCTCTTGGCTCGCCGTGGGGCCGTTTGATGAGGCTCTGGATTAGATGGTGTGTGTGGGTGTGAGGTCAAGATACATCATTAAATAAGTAGGTGTCTTCACATTGTTCATGAGAAAAGTGGTTTCAAAGTTAACTAATATAATAAAGATGGCTGTATGAATCATAAAAAGTATCCTTCTTTCATAAAAAACCTATATTTTATTATTTAAAATTGTGATCAAAATATGATTTGAAATTGAGGTGACTATTAAATCCGGACGGATGTTTTTCTTTGATAAAAATTAAATCCGGACGGATGTACTACTGGGCAGAGTAGGGATCCGTATTAAAAATGGCCAGGCATCGTGAACGCGTGGCAAACAGGTAAGCGTCGTGGACTCGTGGCAAGCGCCTGAAAGGCCCAGACTGCGGTGCGACAGCCGCGCACGCGGGAAAGCATGCAACACGACATGTGGATTCCGTGGAGGCATGCCTGGTGCCCCGTCCAGTCCATGCCCTCAGGCAGAGACAGCTCCGTTACCCTTTCCGGCTGGCGCCTGCCCGTCGTAAACGGCGACCATCCGCCTGTTAACGCCACCCTGCACCGCCCCAGCCCACCGCCTATATAAACACCGGGAAGATCCAAGTTTTAACATTTCTCCCTCACGCTTCCCAGCTCTGCTCCGTTCTGCTCACCTCTCAGGATCGCAACTCCGCTCAATTCCCGCCATCAACCGGCCGATAGAGATACTCTTGATAGCTGATACGGTTTCGTCGGGGTTTGAGCTCGATTCGGCACTTCTACAATTCCGAGCCAGCCCGCCGATGGCGCACGACTTGCAGGACGACTTGGAGTTCGTCGCCGCCGGCCACGATTACGACGACTTCGAGTTCGACGATGCCGGTGGCAACGGGTTCCGAACCTCCGGCGGCGCTTCCCAGCACCAGCTGGTATGATGCCTGGCTCCTCTTTGGTTCACTGCCTAATCTGAGCGGCACAATCGCGTGCTAGCTAGAACGACAAAGGGAAAACTACACAAAATTCTTCTCTGCTAGTAGGAGTATTACTGTACGCCTAGCGGTGGGAAGGTGTTCAAGATCTAACAGTTTTTTTTTCTTTTCCGATCGTAGGATACTGAGATGAATGACACTTCAGCCTTGGAGTACAGACAAGGGAAGGACATGCAAGAGATACCCTGGGAGAGGTTGAACTACAGCAGGGATCAGTACCGTCAGATGAGGCTAAAACAGTACAAGAACTACCAGAGCCTCGCTAGGCCGCGAGATGCACTGCAAAAGGTGAGATGAGATCCACTGCTCATTTCTTTTGTGTGTCTATTATGTCATCTTCAATAACTGTTCTTCGTCGTGTCACTTTTATTAGTATTTTTAGCAGTTAAGCGACAGCTGATTTATCATTTGTGTTAGTCAGGTATGGGTTTTTGTCTTCTACAGTATTTGACTTGCATAACATGTGTTACACTTCAAAAAAAAATGTTTGTAGATTCGTCGTTCAATAAAGTTTGTAAACAAAGTATTTGGTTAATTGTCATGGCATATTACACATGTTCTGTTAGTCAAATTTAGATCTAAACATCCATGTCCGGCTAACAAACCTGGATGGAGGGATGTTTTTTCGAGCAACTGGCAAGAGCTCTGCCTTTTGAATTGACTAGTTTACGAGGGAAATTGACCATCATAAACCATCATTTTGCTTATAGGAATGCCAACGAGCGGAGAGAAGAGACGCCTTCTACGATTTTCACTTGAATACAAGACATGTCAAGCCAACAATAGTGCACTTCCAGGTACCAATTTTTATGGACATCTCTTTCCGGCCTCGGCACTCACATGTATATGACTACTGACACCCGCATGAAGTTGTTGCGAGATTGATTTAACCTATTTTATTTATATTTTCACCACAAATTATTTATGTTTGTTCGCATGGACAAACGGACACTTGATTCAGAAAATTGGCACTCCGTCATTAACAAGTAATATGGATCAGAGGGAGTATTAGTACTCCCTCCGTCCCAAAATAAGTGTCTCAAGCTTAATACAACTTTGTACTAGAGTTAGTACAAAGTTAAGACATTTATTTTAGGGAGAGTATTTGCTAACTTACCACCGGTTACCACACTGGTCATAAATTGTGACATCTTATCATGCATGGCGCGTTTCCATGCTCGCCTTTGTGTGTTAGCTATTGTACTTGCTGAAAGTGGCCCTGTTAGGGAATTCTTGGGTCTGCTAACAGGGATGATTAACCTGATTAACACTGTTTCGTGGGTAAACGTTTTTTATTCCTCATCACTGTTAGGGTATGTTTGGTCATCTGGACTATAGGTAGGCTGTTGGCCACGCG